TGCAACAAATGACAAAGCATTGACACTTTTGTCACAGAAGCTTTGACATGTTCAAGAGACGTGCGACAAATGACAAAGCATTGACACTATTGTCACAGAAGCTTTAACATGTTCCAGAGACCTGCGACAAATGACAAAGCATTGACACTTTTGTCACAGAAGCTTTGACATGTTCAAGAGACGTGCAACAAATGACAAAGCATTGACACTTTTGTCACAGAAGCTTTAACATGTTCAAGAGACGTGCGACAACTGACAAAGCATTGACACTTTTGTCACATAAGCTTAAACATGTTCCAGGGACGTGTGACAACTGACAAAGCATTGACACTTTTGTCACAGAAGGTTACACATGTTCCAGAGACCTGCGACAACAGACAAAGCATTGACACGTTTGTTACAGAAGGTTACACATGTTCTAAAGACATGCGACAACTGACAAAGCATTGACACTTTTGTCACAGAAGCTTAAACATGTTCCAGAGACGTGCGATAACTGACAAAGCATTGACACTTTTGTCACATAAGCTTAAACATGTTCCAGGGACGTGGGACAACTGACAAAGCATTGACACTTTTGTCACATAAGCTTAAACATGTTCCAGGGACGTGTGACACCTGACAAAGCATTGACACTTTTGTCACAGAAGGTTAAACATGTTCCAGAGGCGTGCAACAAATGACAAAGCATTGACACTTTTGTCACATAAGCTTTAACATGTTCCAGAGACGTGTGACAACTGAAAAAGCATTGACACTTTTGTCATAAAAGCTTAACATGTTCCAGAGACGTGCGACAACTGACAAAGCATTGACACAAATGTCAAAGAAGGTTTAAAATGTTCAAGAGACGTGCGACAACTGACAAAGCATTGACACTTTTGTCACAGAAGGTTAAACATGTTCCAGAGACGTGCGACAACTGACAAAGCATTTAAACTTTTGTCACAGAAGCTTAAAGATGTTCCATAGCGTGTGACAACTGACAAAGCAATGATACTTTTGTCACAGAAGGTTACACATGTTCCAGAGACGTGCGACAACTGACAAAGCAGTGCCACTATTGTCACAGAAGTTTACGAATGTTCCAGAGACGTGCGTCAACTGACAAAACATTATCGACATTGTCATAGAACGGCCCCGAAGACTATAAATATCCACACTATTGTCAAAAGACCTACATGTATTACATGTTCAAGAGCATTACGACCTCGAAAAAACTGTAACACAATTGTTACGGGGACCTAACAGTTATATTTACAACACAAAAGAAAGAAACCAAATAAAAACACAAATAGTAAAAGACCATACGAGAACTAGCATAGTGAAAATATTAGTATGAAGAATCAAAATAGTTTGAAGACGAATAATTCAAGAAGGCATAGGAAGATTTACGTGTAAATAACATAAAAGAAGAACAATACACGGACCCATGGCCTTGTACCCAGTATGTATTGCTTGTTGTCTTACCCATGAATCTTTTACACAGTGTGTATTGCTTGTTGTCTTACCCATGGCATTGTACCCAGTATGTATTGCTTGTTGTCTTACCCATGGCATTGTACCCAGTATGTATTGCTTGTTGTCTTATCCATGGCCTTGTACCCAGTATGTATTGCTTGTTGTCTTACCCATGAATCTTTTACGCAGTGTGTATTGCTTGTTGTCTTATAATGAATCTTTTACACAGTGTGTATTGCTTANAAAAAGTAATATCAGGAATTACTGCATGTCTGTAAAAAGTAATATCGGGAATAACTATCGGTAAATAATCATATCAGGAATAACTGTCTGTAAATAGTTAAAACACAACTGTTCATGATATCTTTACCGACCAAACCACTCCGCAGTGGAGCTAAACAAATGTGGCAATACGCCTTATTTATGTTCTTTTTACTAATAGTTTTCTTTTCCTTTTTATCATCGTGCAGAATACATGCTGTTTTAAATACTGTCAATGACCTGGTTGTATAAAGTTATACTAACAATTGGCTTTGATTCCATTTGTTTGCGCGCCTCTTCGTCCAGTTGTTTTGTTCCGATGCTGTCGAGGACGGCCAGACCGATACCTGCTACCAGCCCGATGCAGCAGACGAGCGCCCCTGTCAATTGTATTATTATTTCAGTACGGCGAGTCATGCATGTTCATTCCTCGGGAAATTTACTTTACTGCATGCAGACTTTAAACACAAGTATATATTACTGCAAATGCTAACATCACAACAAAGCCACGTGAGGGTTCTTACTCCGTACATATTCATTTCCTTCTTATGAAAGATATAGAATGAAATATTGAAATGTAGTTCAAACAAACTGAAAGGTGGGGAGAAGCTTGACGTACAGATGTACATGGCGGTATATATAACGTCTTGCTTACCAATCCATAGACTCCAGGGCAGCCCGAACCACTGCGCAAGGTTAGCGGTGAGGAAGAAATTTAGGACGTTACCCGACCTTATAGTGAAGATGAGGAAGCTAACAGGCATTACGCTGTTGTCTCTAAACCAGAAAGACACCACCCGGTTCTGTAAAACTATATGAAATAAAACAATAAAGCCGTATTAAACTGTATGTAACATGTATCAAATTACAACAACATTATTCATTACAAGAATCTCTAATATAGTCCGTAAAATTCTCATCTCAGCCAAAAACTGGTAGTATTATTCACCAGTTATATTGCCTGTCCCCCCTTCCATAGAAACCGGATTTCAACCATTTATCGATTAACCTTCAGCGAGATTAAGTAAGGCGTTCCTCCTACGAGTCGCTTCAGAAAGAAATAGTTGAAATCCCACTTGACAAAAACATCTGCCTTCGGCTACCCTCGATATAAGATGAACGAAAGACACACATATTATGACACAATTACAAAGTTAGTAATAGCTGCCAAAAATGAATTATACTAATACGACCAATGACGATAGCGTACAATGAAAATGACGCTCTGACTAATTGTATTTGTATCAAATTGTTGAAGGAAAAACATACATTGTATTTTTAAATACTTCCTAAAAAGCAATGTTTGCAGCTTATCTGAAACGACTTTCCGAATGGAGTAAACGCGAATGTGACAGGTAAACATTTTGTTCAGTATTAAGAGCAAAAACTGTAAATAGTCGTTCCAGACGGTAATGTAGTATAGATATAATTTTGTATTTTATGTGCATGCCTCAAACTAACCAGTTATGGCCCTTCCCTCGCATATATATATATACCTCTTCCAGGACCAGTGCCGAAGCCGAGAGTCATCCTGCCAATTAGCATAAGGGGAAACATATAGGGCGTACCCCGAATAACCGGGGACCCCGCCAACGCAAACAGCAGCATACCCGTGGAGAATATCGTCGGGATCAACACGGCAGAGGCTGTGAGAAAACAAAAACAGAAGAACCAGTTAACCGTTATTGTATTAGATCAAGAACAGCAACAAGCATCGTAAATTAAAGGCGTTAACCACTAGAAATACGGAGTTAGGAAGCACCTATTCAAGCATTCAATATTTCTATGAACACCGTAATGTTTTATATAAAAATACATAAGACTGTTTATTCCCTTACCCCTGTTTCCTATCTTGTCTATGAAGAACCCTCCTGGTATTGAGACGATCGCTGACCTAAGAATGGCAAAATATCAAATACACATATATACATGTTATAATTAAACTTGTGATAACATCTTCAATTCCTAACCGTCTTCAAGGTAGCCTATATCATTCCATCTACATACCTCCACCAGGAGATGTATTCATGACAACCAGAACACATTTCTTTACACATCAAGCTAAATATAACATCCTTCTAGCTGCGTTAGAAAGAAGATTCTTGCCTGGCCGGGACAGCCGCTTCGTAGAAAAACATATCCCTCGATATCCGAACTCGAGTTAAGTTTTTTATTGAATGAGCTCTTTTCGTATGAAGCAAGTTGTATAAAGGAAAATTAATCTAAACCTATGTCTATGCGAACGACTACTCGGGTTTAAAGATAAAAGGCCTGTACTTACGTCCATGACAGAACGGAGAACAGGAGGTTGTACTTCTGAGGACCAAGGCCTAGACACTCCTCACAGCAGGTAGCATGAGCAGATCCAGAGACATTGTTGTGTGTACAATTATAATCCTTTCATAGACATTAAAATGTTAATGTTTAAACGACTATAAAACATTTATTTTGTCAAGATTATATTTTACTCAGCTAACTAACAAAATGGTAGCAACATCTTTAAAACACACCAGAGACGTACGTCCACAAATAAAACATTGACACTTTTGTCACAGAGGTTTTTTTAAACATGTTCCAGATATGTGCGACAACGGACAAAGCATTGACACTATTGTCACAGAAGGTTAAACATGTTCCAGAGATGTGCGACAACTGACAAAGCACTAACACTATTGTCACAGAAGGTTAAACTTGTTCCAGAGAGGTGCGACAACTGACAAAGCATTGACACTATTGTCACAGAAGGTTAAACATGTTCCAGATACGTGCAACAACTGACAAAACATTGACACTATTGTCACAGAAGGTTAAACATGTTCCAGAGCCGTGCGACAACTGACAAAGCATTGACACTTTTGTCACAGAAGCTTAAACATGTTTCAGAGACGTGCGACAACTGACAAAGCATTGACACTAATGTCACAGGTTAAACATGTTCCAGAGACGTGCGAAACCTGACAAAGCACTGACACTACTGTCACAGAAGGTTAAACTTGTTCCAGAGACGTGCGACAACTGACAAAGCATTGACAGTATTGTCACAGAAGGTTAAACATGTTCCAGAGACGTGC